CTGTAACACGTCTAGTTAGGCCATCTATTTAATTTAGCCTAATAGGTTCTCTCCAACATAGCCTGTGCTCCTGAGTACCAAGGCCTCACGTTGGGAGACACAAGCTGTCCATCAGTTACCATGAATGATAACAACAGCGTGACAGATGCCTCAGGAGAGGCATTTGCTTTCTCCAGGCATCACTGAAGGAGAGACTAAGGAGCTAGAGCTGCAGCCACTGAACTGTTTAAGAGAGATTTTGGGGGCTAGCAGGGGATTCTGGTAATTCTTCCAGAAGAGTCCACTATCTAGGACACTAAAAAATGCTGATTAAAGAAGACAGGTCTTGTATACTTCCTTCAAAGACGGGGCTGAGGAAAGACATGTATCTGTTACTAAAGATGACCCTCTTCTTGGGGAAACCTGTTTCTGACTGAATCATGCTAGAAAAAAAAAATTTTCCAAGTCTTGCAGTCTGCATGGTAGCCAAAAACTACCTAATTCCTGCCAGAAATCCTACAAAAATATGCAAATATACAGAGTTCTAATGACAGAAGACTGTTGAGACTCACCTCTGCACAATACTGTGGTAGCCTGGTGCTATATCGTCAGTTACAGGCTGTAGGAAGACATTGGCGTACCTGCAGAGAGAAGGAGTCCACTTAGTGCCCCATCCTTCCTGGTAAATATTTGTTTCATGCTCTCATGTTTATTTTCCTGCTACCAGTAACAATATGATTCATTATCTCCCAGTACCAAGGCAGGCAAGCCTCCGAGATGCGAGAGTGGAGACTTGTCTAGGATTAGTCACTTCTTTCTGTCAGTTCTCAAGACATAAAACCCACCTGTGATTAGCTGCTGCTCTCCAAACTAGCATGATGGCCTTCTTCCAGATCTTCTGGGCCTGTATTGCTTCCTGGTCCTCACTGCACACTGAGCTGAGAAGAAAAGAATAGGACTTTCTTCAGGAGTCTGCATACTGCCTTGGAGCAGAAACTTTATGTTTGATTTTGCCTTTGACATGCCTATGCTCACCTATGCCAAAGACAGAAAGAAAACCATGGAGCCTTGTACTATGGCACTGTCTGCACATTTGCACTTGTAAGCAAGAACCAGACCAATCAACAAATTCCCCTTTGGACTCACTCACTCGGCAAAAGAGAGATGAGAATCCTATGCTCCCTCCACAAGACAGGCTGGGATTTGCACCTGCGTGCCTGAGAGCTTCGCTGATACTCACAACTGCGAGGAGGCCGGGCTGCTGGGGATGGAGTCAGCTAGCGCGTGAGACTGCAAAGGCGCGTTATGGACACTGAAGCCATCATCGCTCTCGCTCACAGGGGGTTCGTTATCCATCTCTGAGAGATATCCCTCACCCTGATCTTCTTCTTTGGGTTCCTCCAAACTGGCAACCTCACTGGCACCATCCTCATCATCTTCTTCACCCTGCCCATCCTGAAACACAGAGAGTTCATGAGTCTGCACAGCCAGCTACAGCAGCAACTCAGAGCCTCCAGAGCAACTATGGTTCAGCAAGCACAGTGATTTTCGTGCTACGGCTGCTGACAGCCGTACAGGCACTGCTACAAAACCCTAGTACTCTATCCTGCCCTGCCTCCCTCCGTGGATGCCGGAACACACATACAGCCAGTTTTATAGTGCCTGAAGCAATCTCCCCTTTAGCTCCAACTGCAGACTGCCCACTTCTCAGTGCAGAAAGCTGAACACAAGCTTTGCTTTTCAGCAGATGGGAGCCAGGATGCAGCAGCAGTGAGATGTTGCTAATAAACTGACATGACTACAACCAATCCAGAATTACCTTCATCTGACTCCTAAACAGGGCTTGGGCCTCCTCCTTCATTGACTCTGTGGAAGAAAAAGAAGCAGGAAGGTTGATTCTCCAAAGCAGTCTTCCCTACAAAAACTCCTGCACCAATGCCTACTGTCCTGCAGTAATTACCACTGTTCCTACACATAACTTCTTTTCTCCCTCCTCCCCAAAAAACCTGAACCAGATCACTGACAACTATCCAGCTAATAATGTTGCATGTAAAAGATTTCCTAGCTGAATTAAGTTACCTGACAGCTCAAATTTGTGCTGAACATCAGCCTGTGAGGAGTCTTCACTCACATTTGGGACTTGTGGAGGGGATGAATCATCATCAGGTGGGGTCTGGAGGGAAGAGAAATGCACAAATCTAGATGTTTGTGTCAGCTTACTTCGGTGAAAGTGTGGGCACATCTCACTCAGCCTAACCTAACTCAAGTCAATGAAGTTCACTGAGCACCTTCCCAACAGCAATTCTGCACATGGATGGGGGGAAATACATAAAGGTACTGCCTAAAGCAGAGAGATTCTCTGCAGATCGAACAGATCAGCAGCATGACTCCCAGGAAAACAGTCAGTCACATTCATTGATGGGCCATCTTCAACCCAGCAGTCATCCTTCCTCTAAACTTCTCTCCTACCTGCCACAACTGCTCCTTTCTTTCCCCACACCAGTTCAAGACAGCCTCTCTGCTCACATACCTCTGCCTTCACTGTATTGTGCACTGTGTCTTCTCCCTTGGCCGATTCTATCTCAATTTCAGAAGTCTCTCCTGCTGCTACAGCTGCTCTTTGATCCTCTTCTATCTCTTGGCTTCTAAGCTCTGGTGTTTCTGTCACTCTTGCACTTGCTTGTATGGTTTCCTCAGGGCTCAGCTGATTCTGCTCCTGCTCTGCAGGTTCTGGCTTTATTTCTGATCCCAGCTCTCCGATGCCCATTAGGTCTCGAATTCCCTTTGTCTCTGGCTCCTCACACTCCAGTCTCTCCTGCTTCACAGTCACAGTCACTTGGGGTATCTGGGCCTGTTTCTCGTGCTCCTGATGAATTGCGTGTTCCCACGGGCCAGGCAGAGTCTGAGGGTCGTCAGTATCTTCACAGAAAGAAGACAGAGCAGCTTCAACAACTGCTGCGTCCAGGACTTCAGGGTGGTCATCTACCTTTATTGCCAAAACAAACACACAGCAGTGCAGGCCAAGGTCAGAAAGAGGGATTAAAAAAAAGTTCATGTTATTTGGTAATGAGACAATTGCAGAAAACCTGGTGTACTGAGTTTACAAAGTTGCCTTTCGGAGTCAGACTCTCATCACTCCCTGTGGAATCTCCTGTGGAGCTTGTTTCAGAAACACAGCACTCCTGGAAATTGTGCTGCAAGCAGCGCTCATTTGTCTGCCAGAGATGTGACCCGAACCCTACCCAAGATGAGGAAGAAAGAGATTTCTTTCTGCACTCTGAAGAGGAGCACCAGGCTAAACGTGGCAGACTAGCAGCAGTGGTGTCATAGGGTCATTTCCTATTGATCTGGACAACGATGGTGATAATGTGCATTTTGGAAGAGTTACATCTTGCTTGTTTAAACTAACTAAGCTGGTGAACAGTAATCACTTGAGATTACCCTAACTGGATGTGGAGCAAAAGCCACTGTCACTTTGCTTTGCCCATTTACCTTGTCCTCAATGATGGCTATAATATTTCCAACAGTATCGAAGTCCAGCTCTTCCCCTGTATAGGACACTGCAATATCCATTTTCTCAGCCAAATCCAGGTCTTCTTTCCCATCCATGCAGTGATCTTTGGAAGACCCTGCAGTGCTGCCAGCCCCAGAACCCAGGCACTCTTTCTTGATTGAATCAATGATCATGGATATTTCACTGCTGTCCATGGACACTGTCACAGTATGGGAATCAGACACTGCCTCCATGGAAACACAGGCTTCTGGCTGGCTCACTGCACAAGGATGAGAGTGACAATCAGAGACCAATCTGCAGAAGACAAGCCCACATAAACAAATACTGCAGTGGAGAAGACCAAGCACCAAGCGCAAGTATCCCAGGTCCACCCACAACAGCATGGCTTAGAAAAACAAAAGACGATTACGAGTTTGCTTTCCCACAATAGAGACAAGGTGAGATTCCAGCCCTTGAACCACAATCCAGCAACATACCATTAGCATCCCCACCCTCACTCAGCAAATCCTGTTTAAAACCATCTGTTTACTCCAGAACCCAGCCATAACCATCCTCTCAGCAAGGATGGCAATTCTGAGGTGATAAAAGGCCAGCTGAGAGCTTGCTGGGTGCTGATCCCAAGGGAAATTCTGCTTTCCAGCAGTGCATGATCTATTAGTGCGTAGTTCAGGAACGCACCTGTGGCTACGCTTTCTGGAGCTGCAGCTGGTGGCACAACGGATGGTGCTGACAGCGTGGGCATCATGACAATGGTTGCCTGCGACACAGGCTCTACGGGGGGTGGCAGGAGCTTAGCTGGAGGTTCGCTGGCAACAGCGGAGAAGGAAGCAAGAGGTGAGGTGAACTGTGCAGGACCAGCTTCTAAAAGCCGGGAAAGCGTAGGAGCACCTAACAGAGAGTAGAAGGGAAAAGCACATGAGCAAGAAGCAGCCACCACTGAAGTCCACAAAGCCACCACCAGGTTCTTCACTCTCTGGTGGCTTCTTCTGGGAAAAGAGACACTGAGAGTTACCAATAAATGATCCCAAATGTTATATGGAGAACCTGCACCAAAAATGCGTAACGCCTTTCTGCGTGCAGTCTTGAGACAGAATCATGCAGGCTATGGGACACTGTGTTCAATGTAAGGGCTGGACAGGCTAAGCCACACATGCAGAGAGATGCCCTTCCAAAGGCTCATCCCAATACAATAACGGGAAATCTGAAAAACAGTGCTGAGAGAGCCACACAAGTAAGCCAAGACAAAAAGTCATCACAGGAGCCGGAAGGGAGCAGAGGGGATCTCTTTGCAGGTCCTTCCTGGAGAATTCCTCATATCAAAGGTTGCCACTCATCTCAGCTGTAATTTTCAGTCTGAATTTACTGGACTGTCTGGACCAAATTAATAGGTCTTAAAGAACAGACATGGATAAGGAAACTGAGATTATTCATATGGAATTATACATGAATGAATGGCACAAATCCTCAGGTGCAGACAATGTGACTAAAGCACCAGTTAGCATAAGCTGAGAAGAAACTTCACCTTTGGCAGGTTGTTCTGTCAAGGCCCAATGCAAAGACTCTTGCACTGTCCCTCTCACCCCTCACTCTGTGGAACTTACTCTGGAGCTCACAGCCCACTGTGGTCTCAGCCTCAACAGACCTCTAAGCTAAAGCAGAGCTACAACACATTGAGTTCTCCATGTTCACAGAGAGCTGCAGTTTGACCCACTGAGAATCAGATACTAGACCAGTTTTTCCCCAACTCCTCTTCAACTAACCCTTTCTTTCTACACTTCGATGCCTGGTATTAGCCAGTGTCAAAACCAGAAAACTAGACTTCATGGATCAGGACTGAATTGAGTCTAATTGCTTCGGTCATTTTAGATCAAGGCGTTCTTTTTTCCGTAAGGATGAGAGTCTTCTTAAAAAAAGAGTAGGGGTGAGAGGGACAGGGGTACAGAAATAGGAATACAACTTATAAAGAAGTCCCAAAACCAGCCAGGCTAGATGTCCTTCATCCCTCTCCAAAAAGAATCACAGAACAGTCTGAAGGTACATCTGGACGGAGAACTGTACAAGGAGAGTCCCGAGTTACCTGAAGCAGCAGGAGATGCAGGGACAACACCAGGTGCCGACTGCATTTCCCCACTGTGCAGCACTGGAAGGACGCTTCCTACCTCCAGCAGGACTCCTGAGCTGTTCATGTGACCAGAAGCCACTGCCATTTCATTTTCACCGACCTGCCAAAGGAGGACACAACTGAAGTTTCTGGAGAAACCATCACATCAGTGATTCTCTGCCAGATAGGCACCTCCATGAACATGTCTGTCATTTGCTGTCTCAGCATTTCTTCTGCGATTTTGGTCCAGTCTAATCCCTGCCTGAGGCCCCTTATGCAAGTGCAAAACATGACAGTTTAAAACTAGTTGTCCTTCACCTACAATACAGCTGCAGCATCACCCTCCTTTGATGTTAGGCCAAATACATCATTTGCTCTACATTAGTTCCCTGTTCAAGGACCTCACAATCCTTTACAGTAGACACTAGTCTCTCTACCCTCTGAGATGGCAAGGAATTATCCCTTATTTTGAGATGAGGGAAACTGAAACACCAAGATGGAAAGTAACTCTATCAAGGTCACACAGCAAACCTATGATGGACCTTGAAGCAGATACAAACCAGCCCTGTCGATACAAAGAAAACCCAGACTTCCACAGCCATCATCCTGCCTTGCTTCACACTATATTACATTGCATCCTGCAAACACAGAACCCATGGAACATTTACCCAAGCTAACAAACAGAAAAGACCCCAAATCTGACTATTAAAAAAAGTCAACAGCAATACACCTATTCCATCACACAAGTACTAACACAGAGAATCTGCGCCATGGGCAGGCTGATGGCTGCTATTTTTAGACTGGGCTCTGAACACTGTCAGCAATGGTCACCCTCCTAAGACTTCCAGAGTCACCAGCACCTGAAGGGTCAAAGTGGCTTGTCATCACAGTGATTTTAGTAACTCTCTACAAGTATGAGAATACTGAACCATTTCAATATTGGTCATAAACCCCATTAAAGGACTCCCTACTCCATTACAAATATTGAAACTCAACTTCCTGTCAAGATGTAAAGAATTGTGAGCCCCATGTAGGTATTGCCTAGAACACTTCTATGGAGACTTATTGGGATGCTGTTGACTAACACGCCCCCTCCCCAAGGGAGAATGATTTCTTCTAGCAAAACCTGCAACTCCAGCTCCTTATGACTGAGGGGAGATAGCCAGTGCCAGTGCTATGTGGTGAATGACTGCTGCAGTCCTGCACCCGCAGTACTGCTGGGAAAGGGTCCCACCTCTGTGGCTCACAGGGGTAGTTGTATCTCTCGGGTATCGCTTCTGCTGGGACTCTCACGAAAACTACGGTTTTAAAAAGTCTTTGCAGCTCCCCCTTTTTCAGTGGGGAGCAAATTGTTTGTGTGCTTGCATATATGAGCAGAGAGCTCCATACCAGCCTGGGGCTTGTGGGCAGGAGACTGCCTTTCTTCAGCAGCTCTGAGAGCAGAGGGGAAGGAGGCGGAGTTGCTTTCTGTCCTAGCATCTTTTTCTGGGGTGAATCATCAGTGACTGGGGTCATGGGGGCATCCAGGGGAGCAGAGCCTGGAGGGGTGTCAGGGATTCCAATGAAGGAGGCAACTGGGGTGCTGGGCAATGTCCCTGGAGTGACCTGAGAAAGAGAAAAACCACACTGTTCAAAGCCACACTCCACCACACGGACTAGCCCCACTTGCTCCTTCCCCCAAGAGCATTGATCCAGCACACCACAGACACCTACTCCATTCACTCGCTACACCTACTCCAGGCATATGCTTTCACCCTTTCCCTGCCCTGTACTGCCACTTCCCAGGCACACACAGAAGACTGCCTGGCCAGCCCACTGATGCCCCTACATAGCCTTTGACCCAGGCACCTGATCATCACAGACATGGAAGAGGACACATATCTCGAGCAGTACTGCACATCAACCACACTACAGCACTACCACAGCAAAAAGTTTGCAAAACAAGGCACAGGCTCCTCCCCAGGCTCCATGGAGGATGCAGAGCCCCATGTCCCAAGCTGGTCTTTCCCTCTTACCATGGGAAGCATTCTTACCCCTGGACTGGCTTCGTCCACAGCGGGCTGAGACAGATCTCCCAGAGCATAGTCTCCCCCTGGGGAGGTTGAGCCTGCAGGGGAGCGAACCATCACACCCGTTAATCGTCGTGGTGGATTCTTAATGGCCTGACGAGCTGGAAGAGAACAGAAAACACAAGTGAGATTCCCTGACTCCATCTTGGACAGTCCCTGAGAGTTACCTCTGACTTCGTTCTAAAGAACCCTAAGAAAACAACTTATATTGTAGGAATTTCTTCCACCACACTAGGCTCAGTTCACCAATACCACTAGCATTGGGTAATGCACGTTAATTTCAGACTTCTGTAGCAGCTGGGTATTCACCACCTCTCACCACTGGTAGGTTAGTTCACTGAATTGCCTCAAGAACTATAAATGAATTAAACACTCAGAATAAATCTCTCTTATCTTCAGACAATAGTAAAACTATAGGGAAAACTAAAGGGGTGAAAAGCCTGACATTCTAACAGACCGCTCCTTTCTAATCCTACTTCCTCTTAGATATACCTTTTCTACAGAATTTGTTTCTTTCTCAGAAGTCTCTGCATTTTGCCCTGTTACAAACGCAGTGCTGGAAAGAGAATATAATCTCTCTTTCCAACTCCTATGGTCAAGGAGTTCCTCCTGAACAGGTCTTTACAAGACTTAAATTTATTTCCCAAATATTCTTATGAATGTATGCATCTCTCTGTCTCTCTCTCTCGGAGTAAGGAAGCTCACTTCCATCTTACCCTGATAAGCAGCATCTGTAGCCTTCCTCTTGACTTCTGCCTCCTCCTCTTCCATTTTTTTCTTTCTGTATACAGAATCAAAACCTACTGTCACACAGTGTCCCACTTCCCCTTAGTTCCTCCTGCAGTTTACTGACCCCCACCCCACCGTCTCCAGACAACAATGACCTGCCTCTGCAGACTCAGGCTCGAATCCTCTGAGGAGGGAAGCAGAGTCAGAGGCCAGTCAGAGAACAACACATTTGGCAGGAAATTTCACTTCCAGCTGATTATCAAAATGGAGGAGGCAAGCACTATGTTGCAAGCCATCACTGAGCTTTTCATTGAGAACCTCCAAAAGATGTTCCACACAAGCTGGTGCCCCATCATCTAAGCTAAGTCCACCCTCAGAGGCCAAAGCATCTGCCCAGCCACCCTGTTTCTCTTCACCCAGAGAGGTATCTGACAAACACAGTGTCAGGCAACTACAATCTCAGAAGAAAGCATAACATGGAAATAATTAAGTAACACACATCATAATCTCATTGCATAGCTCCTCCAGTCTGTTATCCATGTGTCCGGCCTGGATCAGCTCTGCATCCTTCTTGAGCTGCCTGTAATCAGAAAATCTTCTTACTTATCACTGAACAGTACACCCTAAGCAGCATTTGCACCCCAAGCACCATCCCACTTAGGCCACTTTTTCAAGACAGGACTCTCAGATGCACCACAGCTTAATGTCTCTGCCACATACCTGTATTTCTCCTGCGTTTCTTTAATAATTTTCTTCAACTCCTCAACTCGTTCTGCAGTCAGTTTCCGCACAATAACATCTTCCACAGTTTCCACAACTTCTCCCTTCTCACCACGTTTTCTCCTATACAGTAAGAGAAAAACAAAACAGTTCAAATATGAAACACAGAAAACCCCAGTTGTCCTTTCATAAATGGCTGCTGTCTGTCATTCCTGACACAAACACGCACAAAAAAAACCCCAACTGCCTTCCAATTCCTCTTAAATGATATTGGTCAGCACAATGGTCAAACAATCTCATCTGAAAAGTTTATCTAATTCTTAAATCTGTCCAGTGTTAAAGACTTCAGGAATAGATCAGACATGCAAGCCCACTTCAAATTCTCAATGTGAAAAAAAAATCAATCATTCGACTTCAGAGAAGACTGTTACTACCCACGATGAAACATCTATTTTTTCCCCTCAATAACTCCAAGCCTTTTGTCTTTGCAACTCTCGTGCTGAAGATCATTCAGCACTCTCACAAACAAATACTACTTTTAAACATCCTGCCTTTAATTTAATTTGACACGAAGTCTCAAAAAAAATGCCCGGATTTAGGAGTGAGAAATGTCTGAGACAACAAAGCTGTAGTGATAGCATTGATAAGAAAACTCTAAGAAATCACTGCAAAATAGAGACAAACACAAAACATTTCCCTTTCTCACTCTTGCTGTCTTTTCTACCCCTATTCTGAATGGTAACTTTATGTGTAAAGCTTCTGATCAATAAGGCTAAGATGCAGTGTTTTATTCCAGCCAAACAAACGTTTCTTTTTGCTGCATTAAGTCCCCAAATGCACACTGCAACTCTTACAAATGGAGCTGTGGCAAAGAGGCCCCAATTGCCATGTACTGTAACGACAGGAGGGGCACATGGAAGGCACTGACACAGAACCATAGTTCTAAAACCAACTGGTTTTAGAATCATGTAATACTGAAATACTTCAGTCTTATAAAAAAAGGAGACAAGATAAGGAGATACGGGAAGCATGTTCTAGGAAACACCTTGGGCTTGCCGATCTGCCCCATCTGCCATTCCCTGATCCCACTGTTCACCCATGCCAGCTACCACAATTGAATTTCCTCACTCCTTTACGCTCCTTCTGGAAGGAGCACTATCAAGTCCTTTGCTGTAAGAACTGAGTAAATCCACCCGAAATTGCTGCGGATTGCACTTTCTTCAGACTTTGTACTCACTTAGGGGTCTCTGTAGTCTCCAAGAGCTCTGAATACTGAGATGCACAGTGCTAGAAGAAGCAAAGAAAATCAGAGGATGCTGGAGAGGCAGCATCAGCCAATGCATGTCAACAAAGCCTACAGGACACCTACTCCTACTTCAGAGGTCTAACATTGTATGAACATATCTGACAGTCTTCTCTGGAGTTTCCCCCATGGCTATAATTCAGTGTAGCTCAAAGTGAAGAAGCACATTCACTTTTACTTTAGCAGTGCCCAGGCTGATCTTCAAAACAAAGCTAAAGAATAGACGCTCTCAACTAACCATTTAGAAGTCAAAGCAAGCAAGCATGATTAGGAAAACTGTAGCTGTAATGTTTCCATCTGTGAACATGAACCAAAAATATTTCAGTGCAGGAGACAAAATAACATTACATCAAGGCCAGTTTCACAGCTTAACAGAAACAGTAAGCAACATAAAATCCCCAACTTCTCCTCCCTTGATTCTCTCCAACTCTTTCTGTCCCTTATACAACAAAAATCCCAAGTGCTTGCCCAAACAGCAGGACACACCAAAACAGATGGGCACCCACAAATTCCTGGGGCAAGGAATTCCATAGCTTAATTACAGGCCTGGTGAAGAATAATCTCTTCTGGTTTGCTTTGAACCTACCTCCTGTTAGTCTTGCTTAATAGCCTCTAATAACCTTTTACTGGACAAAGCACCAAACAATTAATCCTTACTCATCCTCAACATGCCACTTCTGATTATGCCGGCATGTGTCATCTTCCCGTTATTCAACTCTTTTTTTATGTTAATGGTTCTACCTTACTTAGCCATCTCTTACAAGAAAACTGTTTCATGTCTTTGATCATCTTTGTCTTTTCCTTAACTTCATCCAACTGTACTATAAGCTCAAATTTAATTTCAGAGACAGGAAAAAGTATTTAATCTGATTTAAATAAAATTGATTTTTTAAAAATTAGTTTTACTTTGTTTTTTTAGAACAAGAAATACATTCTCTTGGGCAGCTGTCTTACTGCATGCAGAATTTACTTTTTCCCCCACATTCAAATGGCAGCATCTTACCTTTTGGGAAAACCAGTCAGGTGGGCGTCCTGGCTCTGCAAAAGGTTTGATAGCTCTGCTCACTGAGACCCTACAGGAGAGAAATGGTGAGTCACTGACAACTTACTTCCTTCCCCAGCCAACATGCAGAGAAAAGACACTGACCTGTCTTGACATTCATCGCTGAACAGCCCTCATAAACACAATGAACTTGACAAGATATAATTGTTATGTTCGGGAATTATTCAAGTACAGCCTTTGGACTCAAAAATATTTGCCTGCTCTTAAATAAACAACAGCTTCCCTACCTTGCTTTGAAAAGCAAGTTTCTAGCTTCTGATGACACCACTATACTTTCACAAAAACCTTACTTTGGTGAAGGGAAAGGGGCAGTAAAACAGAGCTACAAGCTCAGAAGCACAGGAATCTGTTATCAAACATTCTTCTTCACCACAATTCACCTCTTCCATTTATAAACGTATCACTCTTTGTTCTGATCCACATGCTTTCGACTTTTACAGAGTAGCTACGAAAAACGCAAAAAGATTGCCAAGGCACTCCTCCATCTCCGCCAGCCCCATCTTTGCTGCCAACAGGAAGAACACAGGACCCGGGACCGTTTGTGACCACCTGTCGCACAACAAACCGGCACGGCGAAGGAGAAAAGCCCCGCAGCAGCGGAGTGCCCGGTCAGCGCTGCGCCCCCGCAGCCCCGTCCGTGCCTGCG